TGAATGAATGAATGAATGAATGAATGAATGAATGAATGAATGAATAAATAAACAAACTTAACGAACGGCAAGGACTGGAAGGCGTCAGGCTCAAGCCAATCAAGCATGAATGCTGTGGCAGGGTTTGACCAAGTCCCATCAGACTCCCTGCACAATGTGTAGGCAGACGCACAGGTGACACATGATATCATCACAAAGGTCTGGGCACCATGTAAATTACTCTTGTTCAAGGATGTGACTTTCTTGCTCTCAGAATTATGGACAGACCTGGACAGACCCCATTCTCTGAAGTGGCTTTTTGTGCTGCTTGTGGAAGTAGATAAAAGGGGAGGCAGAACAAACTGAGCTCTGTTGAGCGCAAGGAGAGTTGTTTACATGTGTTTGCACTTGATTGGGTTGAACTCATAGATGGTTGGAATGGTTTGGTTATTTTGCTCTATTTTGCTCTAGCTCTGCAAAGAAAGCCCAGCTGCTGTGTCCAAAGCTCATAAAAGCTGTGGTGGGTCGGGGGGAAGAAAACGAAAACTGGATAGAAGATAAGATGTCAGTCAGTCAGTCAGTCAGTCACCCACCCATACAGATTCTTATGTCAGCAAGGAGCAGTAAGAAGTGGATTAGACAGTAATTTGCAAAGCATCCATGTTTTACAATAAGAAGCTCCCTTGTTTTAAGTGTTTGTTGCTATAGACTTAAGAGGGGCTAAGACTTATTTTCTTTTACTATTTGTATTTTATTGTGTATTTGTCTTATTAATGTTTAACATCTTACTTTGCAGATTTTCAGTTAAAAATTAAAGTTAATCAACAATATATTACCCCACATTTCAACTTAAAGCATCACTTGGAATAATCTCTTCCTCTGATTGGATTTATCATCTTGCCTAGCTATAATGCACCTGAATAGTTATGGGCACATCAAAATTTGGACTGTAGAACTCCATGATCTGGTCAAATAAATTCTGGTGTCTTTGAACATGTTGATCTAGCTTTTTAATGGATGGTTCTTCATTTTCTGGAAGTGAATCTTCTGGAACAGAAAAAAATCCTGAAAAATGATGACTCGCTCCTGAAATAGGATTGGACTACATCCAGAACATCACAAGCCATTTCCTGTTCTGGTAGACTCACTTCTAGAAATGCTGAACCATCATTGGAATGATCTGATTGGCATCTTTGGGGAATAAAACAGAACTGTGCAAGAACCATCAGAACATCCTATCACAACAACTCAGAATTCTGCACCTTCCTGATAATCATACAACTTACAACATAGTCATTTCTGGAAACACTACATAGTGCCCATTGACCTTCATTTTAAAATAAATAAATAAATAAATAAATAAATAAATAAATAAATGTGTCTACAATCTCACAAGAAATCTCATGAGGTTTGGATACTTTTAATTTTTTAAAAATGTTCTAAGATACAGTATGTGGGATTCTTATTTGTATGGTATCTGCAGCATTGCATGAAATCACATTAAACTGTCTGAAAAGGATCTGATCCAAAGACATGCTTAAATGGGTCAGTTAGAAAGGTAGTGAATTGAGGAACATCAGATTGATCCAGACAATTATCCCAAAGTGGGTTAGGTCCAATCTTCTATACAATTAAACTAAACCTATCCAATCAGTCATGTTGTATGATTACAGAAACCAAGATAATTGCTTATTTTGCCTACCTAGTTCTCAGAAAGAGCTGGAGAAAAAAAAAACAGTTAAAAAAGTGAGACTCTCCATTACACAACTCACCACCAAGGCCTGACAGCACCCAACATACTTCCTAAACCCCAACTGCCTGCAGGGCCCAAAGGATACCATTTGTTGTTTTCCTGGACCATGGGAAGACAATAGTGATTTAATAAATCTCTTGACTCAGATGTCCATAGGATATCAGGTACTTCCTGCAGAAAGTAGGCAGGCTCTCCAAAAATGGTGATTTTTGACTAGTAAGTATGATTGTGTGCTGCTAGTACCACCAATAAAGCAATTTCACTGGCTAGATTTAAGCATTTTGCAGAAACAGGGCCTTAGTAGGCTTATAGGGTGTGCCCTACCATTAACATTGTTCAGCAGCTAACTTCAGTGGCAAATGCTGAAGTCGGGAAGCAACAGAAGCATTTAGCAAGGCAGAGAACAAACAATAAAATTTAAAAAATTTAAATGCAAAGATAGAAATCAAAACCAAACATTTGGCAAAAGTGACACATTTTGATTGCCTTTCTAAATGAAAGGGAGCAGGAGGCACGCACATCTCCTAGGGCCTGCATCCCTAGTCTAGGAGCAGTAACTGGACATTATGCCCAGCAAGAAACTGGCAACCCAGTGCAGATGTTTCAGTACAGGAATTGTACAATCCCCAGACCTTGAAGCTGTTAGCCTAAACACCACCTTTTAAACTCTTGCAGCTGTTATTGTTTGTTTGGATCATCTTTCCCTGCAGCCAGATCCATCCATTAGGGGTGGCAATCCTACCCTTTTTAGCTAACTTGCTGTCTTCAGGTGTGGTGGAAGATGTCAACTGCCTGCAGTTTTCTTGGCAAGGTTCTTCGAAGTGGTTTGCCATTGG